GAAAATTTTGTTTATATCTAAAAATTGGAAGTATACTCACCTTTTTTTTTTAGCCGCACCTAAATTCCTAATTTCGCAAAAACGCTGTATGAAATTTTTTCCTGGGTAACACCCTGATAGTGTGTGTGTATATATATATTTTTTTCCTGGGTAACACCCTGATAGTGTGTGTGTGTGTATATATATATATATATATATATATATATATATATATATATATATATATATATATATATATATATATATATATATATATATATACAAATTGATGCTCCCCACCAGCACCACCTTTTTTTAGTTTTTTTTTAATTTTGCCAAAAAGAACTTAAAACATTTTCGATAACTGACTATGTTCACATTTTTAACAATTTCCTTTTTTAATTTAGTTTAATAAAACCTAATGATGTAATGTTATTTTTAAAAAAATATCATATATGACCTTACAACCCTTTTAAAATGTTTTCCTTAAAATAATCCCAAATAAACTTCTTAAATATATCTAATAATATATTTAACTAAGTATTTTTAAATAGTTTTATATATAGTTGTTTATACTAAAACCAAGTAAAAATTATTCAAAAGAAATTCACCAACAACGCCCCCCTTCCTCCTTCATCCTCATGATACCTCCCCTTCCCACATACACAATCCACTCCCCTGATCGTGATATTTTTCTGCCTAAAACAATTAACTTTTAGAACTATACTTTTTAATTATAACAAAGAAGATTTATTATTAAAATTTATTTTTATGGCAAACAATAAATAAACTGTTATAAATTAAAATTATTTACGCTAACTGGGGCTAAACTGGGACTAAGTACAAAGAATTTCAAAATTAGTCATTTTTTTTTAAATCATGACAACAATTTGAAACAATTATTTAAAAGGTATTAGTAATATAAATTAAAACATTGTTTAAATTTTCAAAAATTTAGTTTTTGAATGGCTTGTTTATTTATCTGTGGAAGAATTTTTCGGTGATGTTCAACTGCACAAGAAATTTTTTCTGCTCTTTATCTTTGGTTATGGTTTTTCAGCATAGTCTTGAGTTATTTTTACAGCTTGTGTATGTATCATTTGCAGATTTCAATGATTTAATATGCTAAAACATGTGTTGAAAATTGGGCTAACCAAACACCATCTTTGTTTGAATATCCAAATAAATTTAGAGTACTCGGTTTCAAAAGAAGAAATTGTGGAAAGTCTAAATCGTGTTCCCAGTTTTCTTTTATATTTTAAGAATTATTTCAGCATCTATTTGTTTTGCATTCAGCAACATTTATTTGTTTTGCATTCAGTAATTGCAAATCAAGTTGGCAAAATTCTTGATGATCATCTCTTTATATTTTTCGAGACTTCTGGTTAAGTAAACCAGGTGAAAACATTTTCATTTCTGCTTATTTGATCTTTAATACTGGTTCCTCAATTTTAATTTTTCTAAAAGTGGTATCTGAACTTAATGAAAGTTTAAGCCATACATCATTTTTAAAGTGTCTAAATGGCTCATAATTTGGGGCCCAACATTCACCAAAAATCGTTAAACAGATGACAAAACTCTTTGAGATATATCATCTGCACACCAAAGTAACTTTTTATTAAAGTGTTCTTCGATTAACTTTGCAGAACCATTTATCCATCCTGAATTTGATGAAATTGTGTCAAAAATCATTGCTACAAGTGTTTTTTCTAGTTTCCAGGCTTTTATAGCACCTATGATTGCTGTTGCCTGACTTTTCCCAGTTGTATTGTGAATCCTGGACACATACAACAATTTTCCTTCAGGTACACTTGGTTTTCCTGTTACTACAATAGCCAAGCGTTTTATTTTACTATCTACCTCAGATACCAGCTTTGAATCCCAGTGAATGGAAGACTACATGGTTAAAATGAATGTTTTATTGATGTTATTGGAAACTTGCTGTCGAATTTTATTACCTGATCTGCTTGCAGTACTTTTTGAATAGATATTTCATCCAAATTGTGATCTAATGCTTCAGCTACAGCTAAAAATATCCCAGATCTTTCTCTGTTTGATGGATTCAGCCATTAATGAAACTTTAGGGTGTTATATTATTCTAATTTTTTTTTTCTGTCTAGTAATAGTAATTTCTATTTTATTGGATTCTTCATCATCAAATTCTGACAGTACATTGGATCTATTTTTTTTATATATTTTCTTTTCTTGATTTCTCTTTTTCAATAGCTTTTAATTTCTATGATTCTTTTTGCTGCTTTCTTTTTACTTTCATAGAATAGCTCTTACCTAATGCACCCAAAAAATGTTTTTTTAATTGACACTAATCTGAGAGAAAATCTAGCTCTGATAATTGACTATTGTTGTCATGAAAGGTATCTTTTCTAATCAAATCTTCTGCATTTGATCCTGCAATGTCAAACAGAGATGACAACTTATTAATATAACATTTTTTAACTCAGAAGTATAACTTTTTTTTTTCTAATTTTAATCTAGGTTCTCCCTAAGATGTATCAGATGCAGTATCATTCTAACTTTTTTTAATTTATTTTGTTTGAATTCCTGCCATTTCACAAAATACATTCACTTTTTTGCAACTTCTTTCTTACCATTAAATAAAGTTTATGTAGTAAAAATAAATGTTATGTTACTCAGTATTTATGCATGTAATATTACGATGTACTTATATAGTAATAAAATTAATTTTGTCTCATAAACATAAATTACACAAGTTTATATAGAAATAAATTTATTATACTAATATCAACATATTTATGAACACTTTTTTGTCGAAGTATTAACATTCATTTATTTTATGTTTTTATACTGATTTCTATAAAGATGTAAAAACTATTGATGTAAATTAAAGCTCAACGTGGTATCAAATCATGATATGACCAAGAATTGAATTTTTATACATATAGATTGTAAAATTTGTTATTGCTTTAATATTTTTGGATAAGAATGAGGAGCTATGTAAGAAAAACAAGAAAAGTAGCCTTCTCTAATAGTTCAATGGAGGTAGCTGTTGATCTCGTTTTAACAGGAGGGTGTTCATTAAACATTTAACCAGAGGGTGTTCATCAAATACAGAAAAAAAGAATCTTAATTACAGCACCCTTTGCAGGTAATTTATGCTCATGTATTCTGCACCAATAAGTATTTGTCCTACTTAGTTACTTTTAGAATTTCCTTTTAGTTACAAGTTTGTAACTAAAAGGAAATTCTAAATGTGTGTTTTTATGTATATTAAAAAGGAATAAAAAAAGGAGAAATCATTACTATGAAACCTAATTTTTCTACAAGAAGAGTATTTACTGAAGAGCAAGAAAATATTTTGGAGCAGTATATTGTCATCTGCTCTCAAATGTGTCAGACAAATGTTACAACAGACTGTCAAAATGACAATCTGTTGTAAATTTAAGATCTATTGCTTTTGATATAGCTACAACAAATAATATAAAAGTTCCCAGTAACTGGAATAAAGAAAAGAAAGATGAAATAGAATGGATAAGCTCATTCTTAAAGCAGAATTCTTTAAGCATTTGAATGCCAAAAGGATGTTCTTTGTCAAGAATGACATCTTTCAATAATTACAATGTACAAAAGTTTTTTACTAATTTAGAGGCATTTTATTTAAGAGAACCAAAATTTGGTGATGGATTTTGCATTTGGAATCTTGATGAAACATCTACCACCACTGTACAAAAATGTAATAAAATCATTACTAAAAAAGGCATCAAGCAAGTTAACACTGTGACAAGTGGAATACGTGGAGCTTTGGTGACAAGTTATTTGTTTATAAGTGCCTCAGGTGCTACCATTCCACCTGCAATGATATTCCCATGAAAAAAGTTTCAGCAACATATACTTAATAATGCACTTTCTGGATCTATTTGTCTTGCAAATTCAACTGGATGTATGAATACAGAGTTATTTGTAAAAGTAGTTCAACATTTTATATCAAAAACATTCCCGTCATTCCTTTTATGTTTCTGTATTTGCTCCATTCAAAGTTTATTATAATGATGCAACAAAATCTTGGCTTCTAAATCATCCTGGAGTGCCAATCACTACTTACAAAATTGCATCTTGTGTTAACATCGCATATGAAAAAAGTTTTACTATTACAAGCATTCAAAGTTGATTTAGGAAAAGTGGAATACTTCTTTTTGACAAGAATCTATTTTTAGAAGCAGATTTTTTATTTAGTGTTGTTACTGATAGAAACAATCCAAATATATATCAAACAAACACTGGAGAAACTCTGAATACCAATAATTTGTTATTTGTCACCAGAAAAACTTCAAAAGCTTTTTGTCAGTTCCAAGCCAAGTCCAAGTCAAGCTAACAATTCTGAAATTATTAATTTTGTGAGCCCTTCTTAGTTTAAAAGATTTCTGAAGGCCACTCAAATAAAAAATAAAATAAAACCTCATGATAAAACTAGCAGTATAATAGCAACAGAAACACCAACAAAAACTGTACTCGAAGTAAAGGAATTTTATAATTTTTTTATTATCCTGTTTCATCATGCCCCATAGACTGTATGAAGGTAGGCATGGGTTTGATACAAAATTCAATTTTTACTCAATAAGTTTTTACAAGTTTGACCTCTTTTATTTTATTAATTTAAGAATTTAATTTTGAAGGTATAATGTTTATCTACTAATTGCACTAATTCGTTAAAAAAAAAATATGTTTAAAAAAGTAGTTACAAAACAAAAACAAAAATTGTATCATGGTGCCCCATTCTCCTGTACTTATTTAAGAGTTCAACTGTATAAGGTGATATTTTGATTTGCAGTATTGGACCTAATTAATAAGCATTGCTGTCATCTCTGTTGTCACCACTTCATCAAAATCATTATCATCATCATCATTATCATCATCAATCATTGTCATCATCATTGCTGTCATTAATATCATCATAATCATTCATAAAAAAATGTTTATGATTGTCATAATAAACTTGTAAGTTTACTTATGACTGTACTATTACTTATGACTGTTAAAAAATTTACCTCATCATGAAAAGTGTGATAAACCTAATAAAAAAAATAATTAAAAAAATTTTTTTAAAAACTTATGACTGATAAATAAAATAAAATTTAAAATTTAAAAACATATATATACATATATATACACACACACACACACACACACACACACACACGCACGCACACACACATATATATAAACATACAGATATCTTTGTTCCTGTCTGTTTATTAATGCGATACATGTGCTTGTGAAACTCATCTCCATGCCCATCATGATCCTAAAAATTAAATTTTAAGGAGTTAAATAACTTTGAAATTTTTAATAAAAAATTTGCAACATTTTATTTAAATTGTATTAATTACTAAATTTATTTAAAAAAAAAAAACAATTATAAATACAATAATGTTTCTATTTACAATTCAATATTAGGGAAGACCTGTGTACCTAAGGTTGCTTTTATTCAATATTATAATAGGGGAGACCTGCTTACCTAAGGTTGCTTTTATTCAATATTTTAATAGGGAAGACCTGTGTACCTAAGGTTGCTTTTATTCAATATTATAATAGGGAAGACCTGTGTACCTAAGGTTGCTTTTATTAAATATTATAATAGGGGAAACCTGTGTACCTAAGGTTGCTTTTATTCAATATTATAATAGGGAAGACCTGTGTACCTAAGGTTGCTTTTATTAAATATTATAATAGGGGAAACCTGTGTACCTAAGGTTGCTTTTATTCGATGCACAAAATCTCTGGTTTGTTAAAACTGTGAAATTGATATAGTAGTATCATTACTCTTTCCAATACTTCTTTTATTGGTTTTAGGTTGAATGAATTTAACCAAGGTCATTTTACCTTTGAGCTACTAGGTAATGCAATATAGTAAGATGTATCTAAATGACTTTTTATAAAACTTATTTTTGAACATTTGGACTTAAATCTACAATAAAAATAACTATCTTTTAAATATATATATTTTTTCTAAACTAAAATATTTAACTATTAAAAATAACATCTAAAAAAAAAATTTAAATCAAAATAGTTTATATAAGTAAAGCTATTTTTATTTATTTACTACAAAATATTTTTATTTATATATTACAAAATTTTTTCTCAAAAGATTGAAAAGTAAAAAAATTGATTGTAGATTGTAAAGAAAATAACTACAGTTGTACCTTGATATATGTCATTAGATTAAATAACACTGTATAGCCCAAAGCTTTTTTCTCAGAGATTTTAAACTGATTGGTATAATCTGATATATATAAAAACTAAATTGATACAGGTATATATCTGATCACCTGAATGGGTAAGAAAACCTAAAACTAAATATGGAAGGTTACTTTAGGTACATAGATCTGACCCATTTTAAAAAATAATTTACTAAAAAAACTTACTTTGTTGTTATCGGTAACAAAGAGAAGTGCATGGATCATTTCGTGCTAAAAACAATTTTTTATTTGTTATAAATTTTAAATAACTAAACAGAAACAGTTAAATGTTCAAAGAATGAACAATTTTTGAAACTCTTAGAAATGGTTCAGAAGTAAAACAAGGTTTGAAAACCTTAGAAATTTAGAAAAAAAAATTTTTTTGGAAATTTTAGAAATTATTAAGAAAAAAAACAATTTTTGAATAGCTTAGAAATGGTTCAGAGAAATTTTTTGGAGCTCTTAAAAATGGTTCAAAAAAAAACAAATTTCAGAAATCTTAAAAATAGTTCAGAAAAAATCAAAAGCATCAAAATAGTTGTATTATATAATTAACATAAAAATAAAAAAATGGCTCCAGAAACTGTAAGACAACTTGCTTACCAATATGAACACAAAAGCAAAAAGAACATGTTAGCTAAGTTGACTGAATAAAAATCAGCAACATAAGATTGGTTGAATGGATTTATAAATCACCATAAAGCCATTAGTTTTGTGCTACTGCCTTCAATAAGCACAATGTAGGCCACTTTATAGAGAATTTAAAAAGTTTACTAGACTGGTACACTTTTGGTGTAGAACAAAATTAGAATACAGATGAGTTAGGGATTACTACCACCCATAAGTCGAAAAAAAGTAGGTAATATAGGTACTAAGTAAGTACGAAATATGATTTCATTGGAGCTAGTTTGAAACATGATTTCAGATGATAGATGATGAACCACCAGAAACAAAGAAACCTCACACCCTAGTAGCTTAATGACAATTACAAATTTTTTATTGTTCTTGAAATTCTTTTTAATACATGCGAGATGTTTTAAAACAATTTTAAGAACAATAAAACTAGTTAAATTGTTTTTGATAATCATAAGTCACACTTAACTATTGAGTCATTTTTCATTCTTTGACTGTTCCACCTCATACCTCCCAAAAATTATAACCTTGAGGCTGCATAATATACAAAACAATTAAGTTCTATTATAACGCAGCACAGATAATAAAATGGTTTTTCACCCTAGGTATCCTCTAACTATATACAATCTAGCTTCATGTAAATTTTGGAATTGCAAAAGAAATTCTTATAGGAATGCCAAGACTTCAAAAAATAGATAAAAAATTTTAGTTTCTAGGATATATATATATATATATATATATATATATATATATATATATATATATATATATATATATATATATATATATATATATATATATATATACCCATATAGTGTAGTCGAAAAAGCGTTTTAATGTAAAAAAAGTCTCTTACGACTACAATTTTAATTACCTCGTCTCTTAAGCTGTTTTTGATTGTCATCGAAATGTCAAAGCAATTAATTTATGCGGAAGTACATTAAATTTAATTGTTTTTTAAAAAATTTTTAAAAAACCGCAATTATAACGACTAGAAAGTTTTTTTTAATTAGTGGTGTTTTTGTTATTGATTTAATAAAAAACATTTTTAAAACATGCCTAAATGTTGCTACATCGACTATCTTATAGCCTGACTCGCAACGGAGTGCTGCTACATCGACTGACAAATAGCCTGACTCGCAACGGAGTGCTGCTACATTGACTGACAAATAGCCTGACTCGCAACGGAGTGCTTCTACATCGACTGACAAATAGCCTGACTCGCAAGGGAATGCTGCTACATCGACTGAGGGTTTGGTTTGGCCAGGCAGTCTATCAATTAAAAAAAAAAATTTAATTTTTAAAACTTTTTCTGGTCTGGTTTATTAACGCGCTCTTTAAAACTACAGTTTATGGGAAACTTTTTTTGATGCTATGCAAGAGACATGCAAGAGTATATATATATATATATATATATATATATATATATATATATATATATATATATATATATATATATATATATATATATATATATATATATATATATTATCACATAAAAAAAAAAGCAAAAAAGTTATGAAAAAAAATCATATACATGGTTGCTAATAATAATTTATACTTTTTTTTTTACATGATCGATTGCATTGTTTTATTTGGTGGCCTATAACTCAATCTAATTTTGAAATTTCGTAAATCATAGATTATGATGTTTTTGATTTTCAATCGAAAATATATATATATATATATATATATATATATATATATATATATATATATATATATATATATATATATATATATATATATATATATATATATATATATATATATATACACACACACACATAAATACTAGGGTCCAGCGAGTCACTTTTTTTGGTTTCGAATCAAATCATGAATCAAAATGGGCCTTGATTTGCAAATCCAATTAAAGCGAATCAGAATTTTGAGGATATCTATGCTTTAGCTAAACTTAGAGTTCCTCAAAATGCTGATTGGACTTGTGATTCATTTCGATTTGCAAATCAAGAACTCCCTTGAATTGTGATTTAATTCAAAACTAAAAATGGTGATTTAATAAATACATACATAATAATAAATACATAAATATATAAATATATAAAGATATAAATATATATATATATTTATACAACCCGCATATATATATATATATATATTTATACAACAATTTAATTTTGGAGAAGACTATATATATATGAAGACCTCAGTGGAAAAACCGGCGTTGTCACATTTAAAAAGTTATGAGAAAGAATTTATTGATCATTAATAAAAGTTTTTTTATTAGGCAAAGAAAATTAAATATGCGAAAAAAAAAAAAATATATATATATCTATAAATATATATTTAGAATATATTATAGATATATATATATATATTTTTTCGCATATTTAATTTTCTTTGCCTAATAAAAAAACTTTTATTAATGATCAATAAATTCTTTCTCATAACTTTTTAAATGTGACAACGCCGGTTTTTCCACTGAGGTCTTCATATATATATATATATATAGTCTTCTCCATTTAAAATTTGATACTAACGCACGAAAATATGCTGGCAGGATGGTTATTTTTAAGTTAGCCTGCATTAAAAAATTCTTTTTTTTCCTGCTTTTTAAATTAAAATAAAACAGAAAGAATGCTTTGAATAAATACTAGTTAAAATAATTTAAAAAAAAAAACTAGTAAAAAAAAAAAAATTTATAAAAGTTAAACAAAAAAACAAAAATGTTTTGTTGCAATTTAAAACAATGCGTTTTTAATTTTTTTGCAAGCGCTTTATTATGCACTCTTTAAAGTTTTTCGATCGTGTGGGCAAGCGTGAAAAGACTTGAATATATATATATATATAAAATATTTATATATATATATATATATATATATATATATATATATATATATATAAATATTTTATATATATATATATATATATATATATATATATATATATATATATATATATATATATTTATATATATATATATATATATATATATATATATATATATATATATATATATATATATATATATATATATATATATATATATATATATATAAAACTTATATTGCATGTTTAGATAACATGTCTAATGTCAAACTGAAATAGTCTGCTACCTGCTTCAATACATACATTAACTGACTAATAAGGTAGAAAATGCAAGAAGTGCTGCTACATCAACTAATGGTTTGGACTAGGACAGCTATCTTCTTTAAAATGATTCTTCGTTTTTTCTTTATTTTCTGAAAAAGTTGTATTGAATAATGTAACCAAAAAAGGTCAACAAATGCATATCTATATAAGCTTTAGTATATTTACAGGGGTCAAAATAAGTGCTGGATATCAGCACTATCCAGACTATTTTGAGATCTGTCTGAAGGGCTCAACTAATGGTTATTCATTTTTTCTGACAAGATGAACAATTGCTTTTCTCTAGCAGGTTTTAAAAATAGTAAAAAAAAAAAAAAAAGGGCTGCAATGTTTGGCATCTATAAGTGCATAAGGAGTGAAAAGAACATCTAAAATGGACATGGCAGGTAAAACAAGGCCCCCATGCCATGGCATGGGCAATCATTTTTGCAGGCTTTTTTTATATGCAGATATAGAAAATGAAATGATTGTGATAATTATGTTTTTTTTATTTAAATGATTGATTATTTTATAAATATTAACTTGTTTCGCGCTTATTTCTTCGTAATTTCTCATATAAAAAGTTCATTTATTACTCTTCTTAGTAAATTTTCTAATTTGAAAAGTTTAAAAATTACACTCTCAAAGCAAGAAACTTAATTCTAAGAATAGTAATTCTAATAAAAGTAATTAAGACTTGAATTACATACTTACGTGTTACTTGACTCGAATGTTTTACATACTTTTACTTTTTGTGTTACATAATTCAAATTTAAACAAACAAATTTTTATAAGATTAGAGAGATTTAGTTAACTTAAATACACTTGAAAAAAAACCTATTATTAAAGTTATCTAAGTTGATTAAAATATCAATAAATCCTAAACCAATATAATGGCAAAAAATAAGTACTTATTTACAAGTGATGAGTCAGTTGCAGCTTTAAAAACTCATCCTAAAATAGACCAAGAAAGTGTCAAGGGTACTAATATTTTTTTGGAGTTGATTATAGATTTTCGAAAAATAGTGGCTGTTAAATGTCCAGGTGGAAATCTTAGATATAGGGATGAGTTGCATAATGTAATCAGATCTTCAGATGGATGAGTTGCGTAATGTAATCAGATCTTTAGATGACTTAAAAAAATTGGTTTTTATTGCAACAATGGCTGAAAATACGAAAGCAACGTTTTGTAAACAAGTTTACCAGCCTGCTAGAGATACAATCAGTTCACTTTCACATAATTGTAGTGGCCTAACTGATTTGTCTTGCCATCTTTTATCAATTGGAAATAAATATGTAGTTTTAGTTTGGTTTTCTTCTGATCCAATTAAAAAATGCTTCAGTAAATTAGATCAAGCATCAGATTTATTTTACATCTGCTAAATTAGTTATTGAAAAAGTTTGTTTTCAACATGATAAGCTGGTGCTACAGCTAAGTATTGACATAGAAAGAAATGATGGTCATGACTTTCTTTTATATCTTGAAGATTTAGATGATAGAGAAATTG